AGTCAATTGCCTGGTTGTAGAGAGCGTCGACCTTCGCAAAGGTGATGCAACCCACCATCAAATAGTTCTCACACGGAGAAAGGAGGTGGTGCTTCCAAAAGATCAAAGGTTAATCGATTCACGGATGGTTTGAGGCCTCAAGTCCTTCCAAGATCTCGCTGGCCACAATTTTTAAACCTTATATCTCCAGTTGCGCTGCTGGAGGCTGCTTTGAAGTGCTATAGGGCCAGATCTAGGGGTATTCTCCACCAGAACGGAGAATCAAATGGACAATAGAATGGACATGACATTCAACTGTGTTTACCATGTGGGTTTTAGGGACAATCTCCAATTTTATGGTTCTAGATTCCTTGTGTGATTTTGCTATAGGTTACTTCAAACAGATTTTTAATTGATATTTGCAATTGTCAGGCCCTTTTATGTGAAGTCCGTTCAGGTCCATCCGGTCCGTTAGTGTGGGACAGTTTCCTTTCAGGGCCATTGGCCTTTTATTAGCTAGTAGCCAGTAGCCAGTAGGCATCGCATGTCGCTGCTCGGAGAGTTCGTGACAATTCATATTAGGAGTCGTGATTTGTTTGATCCCACTCTGGGCAGAGATGTGGGTTAGAAGCAAGCACCGATTTGCAGGAGGACGGGGGTGGGGCGATGTCCTTTTGGGGAGGGATTACTCGTTTACACCGGGAAGGGCTGTTGGAAGGTGCAGGTGCCTGCACCCATTGCAAAATGACCTAGCTCGTTTCTTCGTATCCAACTTCCTGTCTATGCGACTTGCGAAGTCCGGATCCTGAAGCTATCTGCCTCTCCGAGGTAACTTATATTCTCATTATAGGTGCCTGAGGGTCAACCCTTAGTAGGGGTCCTGAGCGGCACGTAGCAAAGGAAGAGCAGTGAAATACGGAGTTTAGGCATTTCAAGCAGTAGGCATGAGGTCTCAGCCCTGCAGAACATGATAGTTTCCCAAAATAGGTTCCCAAAATAGGGGAACCGCAATACTGGATCAATGTTAGGGATCCTTTGCACTTCTTGGGGTATGGGATCTCCTTACATTTATGTACGTAGAAGGGATTCTTTTTTCTTCCTAGGGTGGAGAATATAGACCCTCAAAGTACTGTGGTCATTATAGTCCTTGCCATTGGGGCCCCCAAAAGGTACGCCTAATTTTGAGAAGCCCCCACATTTCACAGGTTAGTACCCGGCATGACGCCACCAACCGCGATGGGATAAACTCCGTCCTGTTGGCGCCGAGCCCCTAGCGTACTGCTGAAGGTTGACTATTTGACAATTGTCCACTTATTTAATCATCATATACTTACCCCAAACCTGTACTAGAATTACTATTGCCCAAAACCCAAGTACCTCATTATTAGGTACTTGACCCTAAACCCCACACACGATATATCCCTGTATGTCCCTGAAAGGGACTTAATTCTTGGGTACATGGACCCTCTGGGAAGGGTATTGCGCGCAAATTTCTCTAGCCGGATGGCCTTACTTAGCCAAGCTACTCGACAACACGGTTTACCCTAAACCCTAAACCCCATTCTTTAATTTCAGGACGACTTTAAGGAGACTCTACACCAGAAGGGTCTGACGCCTCGGATTCAGAATTTGCGTAGGCCAAACATGAAATCAGGACATTATGAGAGCCCTAAATAAGGGATTGGGGGTTTAGGGTTTAGGGTTGGGATTACAAAGCTCAAAGAGGGTTGGGATTACAATAGGACTCCCCCCCCCAAAGGTATCCCCCCAGATTTAGAACCCTATTAGGCCTTATTAAGCCCTATACAGTCCTTATTAACTCCTTAAACCCTGGGGGGGGGTACCTTTGGAGGGGTACTATCCCTTACTAGAGAGTCAGAGCCAACTTTGAAGCATTGGCAGCTGTTGTACATGGATTGTTCTCGAAAGTATGCGCCCCTCTTGGCCGTAGACTATATTACGGCACCTAAACCCCAAACTGGTTTAGGGTTCAGGGTTTAGGGTTCAGGGGTTCAGGGGCCCTAAACCTTAATGGGACCCGTTCAGGTTTAGGGTTTAGGGTTCAGGGTTTAGGGTTAAGGGTTCAGCGGCCCTAAACCTTAATGGGACCCTTATTTTGGTAACTACCCATATGTGTCAAGGCCAAGGAAGAAGAGTAAAGCGCATGGCCTGCACGTAGGTGATCTATCGTCTAAGCTCCTTAAAGGGTGTTAGATAGGGGATTATAGGGGAGCATTCTATGGGTAATAAAGGGGGATAAAAGGCACGTTGTATAGGGGATTATATAGGCGAGTATTCTAGTGTTAAGGGGGATATTAGGAGTTTAGACTATAGCTGACTTGCTGCTGCGTACTCAAGGCCACTCCTGAGCACGCTACGCTGCACAATAGGGCAATCCCCATGGAAATGAAAGGTTTCCCGAAATTAGGGGTATTGTTAGGAAGGGAGTATAGGTCAGGTTTTATCGGGTAATATAGGAAGGTTTGAGGATTCGGGTTTCGGGTTTCCCAAAATTAAGGGTACTTTTTCGGGGGTTCCTATAATAAGGACTACAGTATTTTGTGGGTCTACATTGGGGTCCTCCTATTTAGGGAAACTACCCTATCTCCAGATTTCTTCTGTAAGAGCAGCAAGCACAACACATATAGTTTGGGACTGTACACCTTACAGAAAGCTTGAAGACTCCAAGTTTTCATAGTCAGGGTAAAGCCTGTTATAGTAGGTGTATGAGGATCCCAGGGTCAAGCGGGCCAAAGTCCTTAACCCTAAGCCCCCTATATATACATATATCTATATCCTTATACTATATACGTATATACCCCTACATAACCCTTACAACTCCCTCAGAGGGATCATTTGAGGCCTGACCTAGACCCGGAGGGTATTGCAAACTCTTGGAAAGAGTGCCAAAGAAGATCCAATAGCCGTGGTATCGTACACTAGCAGTTGCAGCCTGGTGAAATTGCTTGGGCAAACTTGTGAACACATTTCTCAAACATGCAACAGTTGTACGTCTTCAGACCAAGAAGCCGAATCAATATCGGTTGGAGGACCTGGCAACCCTGGAAAGGTAACCCTGAGGAGCCATCTGATCCATGCTTCGGTTTTCAAATCATCCCCCAATCTGGCACCCAATATATACACTGACCAGGATTCCTCAAACATTTTCTACACTCACCAAGAACCCAGAATTAGGTCCCACTTCATTCAAACCTTACACCCGAAACACTTTAACTTGGCCCCAAAGAACGCACCAACAGAGGCCCGGCCCTTCCGGGCCGATCCTGCTGACGGGCTCCTGGGATGGGCGCTGGCACGAATCTGGGCCACTCTTGGATATATAGGGTTTAGGGTTTAGGGGTATTATCCCCGATAATGGAGAATGAAATGCAAAGAACATGAATATGAAGCTAGGGTATAGGGTACAGGGTGTATGTACTTCGTGGGACCCTGGGGTTACAAAAGGGTCAGGTAACCTACTTCTAAAGGGCCACGGTAAGGTTGCAATAGTCCTACTGAGGGGACAATCTTTTACCTAACCTTAAGCCGTAAACTCTAAACCCAAAACCTAATATTTAAGGGGTTTTGAATTGGGGCCCTGTAGTAGTGACCATTTGCAATACTAAGGATTTTATTGGGGTCCCCTGATATTCCTATTATACCACTATTAAATGGTGGGGGGGTCCTCTTAAAATATGCCCATGTAGAGCCCTTAATATGATCCCTATTTTGGACCGTTCATGGGTGGGGGCAGGACTAAGCCTTGCATGAACATTGTCTGTGAGTGTGGGTTTGCACGTGCGGAATCTGATCTGCTTCGGGATGAATCAGGCTTCGAGGTGCATACTGAGGTTCCCAAAGGGTCCATGTAGGTATATGGTATATACTTATGGGCCCAAGGGGGTTCCCATATACCTACTTTAAAGCCCAAGTATATAACACATAGCTACATGGACCCTTTGGGGTTTAGTACGGAAGAAGGGAAGCTACTCACTACATAATTCCTCTAGTCTTCGCGTGTTGCACGCTACAGGCTCAGATTGTGCCTTGGATTCAGAAGTGCGCAGATTCTCAGGAGACTTGACAGTAACAGGTGATTTGACTTGCATGCGTGATGACTGAGAATGCATGCGTGATAACTTGAATGGAATGTTGGAATTATTGACCATGCTGGCAACTCTGGGCGGGATTCACATCCTTGGCAGCACCTTGTGAATCACAGTCCGAACCATCGGAAGTACACTCGTCAAGAGTAGGTCGTACATGCCAGTATGTGCGTGTACCAAGCGTTCACTTAGATGTGATATTCCAGCGTTTTTCTCTTGGGCGTTGGTCATGATTATGAGGGCCTGCGTATTGTGCTTTTCGATTCGATGTTCAATATAGATCTGCAGTTGACAACCGCTGTCTGAGATCTCTTGCTTGCGGTTTCCTTCTTGTCTTTACTTAAGATTTATAAGGTTGACCCTTTGGAAGACACATGTGTCTTGTTGTGTGAAACTGGCAGCCGTACCTCCTAAATAGCTGATTGTAGAGGACTTCCGCAATAGGCCTGATATCCAGCTCACCTTATCTCCGGCTGAACGCCGGATGTATCATTCATGTCCAGGAAAGCTACGCGAACCCCTTTGAGCCACTTTGAACACCCCAGCATCCCGAGTGAGCTCTTGCACCCTAAACTCTAAACCCTAAACCCTAAACCCTGGCCTCCTTGAGTCCTGGCGACCCAGAAGTCTGAATGCCCTTCTTGCGCATGCAAGGAATGGGAGTCTTGGCCTGCGCGGCCGGTGACCAAGCTGCATGCTTTATCTGGTTTTACCAAGTATCCTCCTGCTGCGTTGGCACTAGGACAGAAAGTGCAAGGTTGATATATGATGAGGGGTTGTTGTGGATTTTGATTGCACATGCCCACGATGTTTGTTGATGTCGTGATTGCCGGCTGCAGCTGCTAGACACTAGTGGCACGACTGTTGGTAAAACCTTGGTAACTGGTAGCTCACGCAGCGTTACCGAATAACGCAATGAAGCGGCGCTTGGGCGGCTTCGTGGGCTTTCTTTGGCTTCTTCTTGGAGGAGCCTGGGCAACTTTCACTCCATTCGTCGCCTGGCGCAACTGCACACTGCAGCCGCACAAATTCCGCCTACATGACGTGGGCATGACAGCGTCAAAGAATCATGAGTTTGAGACAGCAGCAGAGTTTCGCCCACTGCGTCGCTACAGAAATGAGGCAAATCAGAAGCCTCTGGCGGAGTGGCTGAAGAGTTTGGGCTTGAGCCAGACGCAGGCCGACAAACTGATTGCTAAGTGCCCTCGATTGCTTGACTTGAACATTGAGTCGAATCTGAAGCCCACAGTGGAGTGGATCAAGAGTTTGGGCATGAGCCAGACGCAGGTTGTCAAAGTGGTCCTGCGGCACCCTCGATTGCTTAGCTTATGCATTGAGTCGAATCTGAAGCCCACAGTGGAGTGGATCAAGAGTTTGGGTTTGAGCCAGACGCAGGTTGTCAAAGTGGTCCTGCGGCACCCACAGGTGCTTGGCTTGAACGTTGAATCGAATCTGAAGCCCACAGTGGAGTGGATCAAGAGTTTGGGCTTCAGCCAGACGCAGGCTGCCAAAATGGTGTGGAAGAGCCCTGATATGCTTGACTACAGCATTGAGGCAAATCTGAAGCCAAAGGTGGAGTGGATGAAGAGTTTGGGTTTGAGCCAGATGCAGGTTGCCGACCTGATCGCAAGCTTCCCTCGAGTTCTTGGCTTGAGCATCGAAACCAATCTCCGCGTAAAGCATTTGCTGTTACAGCGATGCTTTCCTGGCAACGAGGCAGCCGAGCTTTTGGCACGATACCCACGTTTGTGGAGCTACAGTTCAGATCGGCTGGACTATCGCATGCGCGTGTTGGACTCCGCAGGTCAGCTGCATAAGCTTCCAGAGGCCATGATTATGACCCCAGAAAACTTTAAACACAACTTTGGAGCTTGAGGTGCAAGGAAGTGGGCGGCCGCCTGTTGGTTGGATAAGGATGAGTTTCCACCATATGTCCGCGGTGCTGTGTCTATGAGTCCCTAGCGGAGTGATCTCTTTCTTTCGCAGGAAGTGACAACTTGCAGACCTCATTCTCTGAGCCCTATACAAGAAACGGAGGTTTCCTAAAATCAGGGGTACCTTTCTTGGGGGCCCCATAATAAGGACTCTAGTGTAGTGGGGTCTAGATTAGGATCCTCTTCTTTCGGGAAACTACTGAATCCTCCGGCTGCTTCATTGATGAGACCGGCCCATGAGTTTCCCTCAGGCCCTCTCCAGTCCAGGGGGCTGTTGTCAGCTCACAAGCTATAGTCTAAACTCCTTGAAGGGGGTTTTATAGGGGATAATCTTAAGTTCAGGGTTTAGGGTCCAAACTCCTTCAAAGGGGAATCTATAGAGGATTCTCGAGAAGGGTTGTTCAGGGGATGCCAGGAGTTTGGACCATCGCTCACGTGTTGGCAAGATTTCCTTCAATCTCCTTGAGCAGCTCGTATGACACGTATGATCCCCTAGACCCCAAGCCCTAAACCCTAAGCCCCAAACTTTTAACCCAAAACCCTGAGCCTAAACCCTAAAACCCTAAACCCTATAACTTAGCAGGACCCCCACCCTGCAATAGTGGTATAGTAGGAATATAACAGGACCCTAATATAATCCTTACTATTCCTTATTGTCACTATTACTGGGTGAACAGAAGCCATGTACAGTAAGTTGGACCAAGAACTGCGGACTCCTGGGGACTGCCCAAGGTTCCATAGCTTGTGGGTCTAGGGTTCAGGGCGTAGGGTTTAGGGTTTTAGGGCTCATGGTTTAGGGTTTGGGGTTTTAGGGCTTACGTTTTCGGGTTTAGGGTTTGAGGGCTCAGAGTTTTAGGGTTCAGGTGTTGGTTTCTTGCTTAGGTTTTAGGGTGTGAAGTTTTAGGGGCTTTGCCCCTTCTGTTTATTCCCTAGTATTTACAATCACAAATTTGAGAAAATCGTTATTGGAGGGGCGGGGGGGTTACGTCTATTGGGGGGCAGGGATTACGCCCCTGACCCCCAAACCCCTGCAACCCTAAAACGTGAATACACCTGAACCGCGCGCCCTGCAACCATAAAGCGTTATGAAGCCCTGAACGCCAAACCCGTAAAGCCTACAAGCCTAAAATGCTATTAAACCCTCAACCCTTAACCTCTACAACCCTAAAGCCTAAAACGTTATCAAACCCTAAACCCCTTACAACCCTAAAATGTTATCAAACCCTAAACCTTAAATCTTTACAACCCTAAAATGGTATTCAACCCTAGATACTACGTATTCTATCTACTTAAGGGGATTGCATTCATATAGGGCTATAGGGTTTAGGGTTCAGGGCCCTCCTAAGTATTCGGGCCCCCACATTTAAGTACCTTATTGGCGGTGTTGGGAAGTGTTAGGGCTTATAGGGCTTGTTAGGCACTGCTCTTTTGGGGGTTGCATACTGAGGGTGCGCATGTGAGTCCTTTGAGTTACGGGTGTAGGGTTCAAGGTTCCTAGTCTTTAGGGTTTCTGCCGGGCGGATAGCCAGGCCTGCGGCAGACCCGGTTTACGGTTTACTGCCCGAGTCCTCAATACTGCTAACATCAGCATACCGTAATATGTTATGGTATACCCATCGAATGCGCTATAGGCTATAGTGTGTTAAGATTACTAGAAGGGGGAGTATTGAGCGGAACGGATTGGCGAAGACCAGAGGGCCCGGCTACTTTGGAGACAGCACATGAGGTTCCACTTCTTCGAGGTCCCCCACTTGCTTGCCCGAGAAGTCTTACTCCCCAACCCTTGAGCCCTAAACCCTAAACCCTTGAACCCTAAACCCTTGAACCCTAAACCCTTGAACCCGAAACCCTTGAACCCTAAACCCTGAACCCGAAACCCTAAACCCTAGAACCCTAAACCCTAAACCCTAGAACCCCTAAACCCGTAAACCCTGCGTGCCTGGGAGCTTGCCTGGATGGCTAAGCCCGGGAGAGGGGTGAGATGCCAATGCCTGCAGAGTGAAGATATAGTCCCCCTTAAAAGGGTTTAGGGTTTAAGGTTTAGGGTTTATTTAGGGTTTAGGGTTTAGGGATAGAATATGGTAACCCCTTAAACAGATAGAAGATGGTTTTGGGTAGGGTTTCGGGTTGAGGGTTCAGGATTATATTCTAATAGGATGCCCATATAAACAGGAATTATGAGAAGATCCCTTCTCAAATAGATAGAAGAGCTTAAAGGTTTATAGTCAGTTTATAGTCCCCTAAGTGGGATTTTATAGGGACAATGGAAAAGAAAATGAAAACTTCTATTTAGGGCTTATTAGGGTTGAGGGACCCCCTAAAAAAGATAGAATGTGGTTTTGGGTATATTATAATAGGATCCCCATATACCCCATATTCTATCTACTTAAGGGGGACTCTAAACCCATTGTAGCCCATATAACCCCAAAATAAACCCTAAATAACCCCTATTCTACGTAAGGGGGGCTATATGAGCAAGTGTGTCGTGTGCTTTGCGGGGCTGTTCAGGCGAAAGGGGCTTGCAGCGACCTGGCCAGACGTCGTTATAGCTGGATTGCCGGTTGGAAAAAAGGGTTTAGGGTTCAGGGTTCGATGAACAAAAACCTTGACCCTGATCCTAGCCCCGGTTAAGATATTCTCTAGATAACCATTATGTGGCCTTTGGTTAGCTGGGAATGAAGGAATGGATCGCTATAGTAGTCCCTATATAGCCCGTTATAGTACTTTCCATTTTCTTTTCCATTCTAAACCCTAAACCCTAAACACTATAGACCCTAAACCCTAAACCCTAAACCTTATAGCAGTTTCTGCTTTCTTTTGCATAACCAAATGCAAGGGACCCCGAGCCCTTGGTTTTAGGGTTTAGGGTTTAGGTTGCAGTTTAGGGCTTCACCGCGGGGTAGTGCTCCGGGACATGGCTATGCCTTCTAGCAGCTGTGTAGGGTTTTGAGGTTTAGGGTTGAGGTTTAGGATGATTGGGAAACTGGATGATGAGAAAGTCTCTGAGCCATGAGGTAATTTCCATAAATAGGGGGAACCCAGTATAGATCCTGAACTGCTCTAGTTCTTTTATTGCAGTGACCCCCCAAGAAGTTCCTTAAGTTTGGGAAACCCTAATCCTTTTTTAGCTGTCATATATCCGCAATTCTCTTTGCCATCTGATTCTCCGTTGTTGGTGGCAACATCACCACATAAGTTTAAACATATATATGTATATATGCCCTAGACCCTCTAAACCACACTGTAGTACCAGTTTCCATGTTTGTTGTGCATGTTTTTGTTGGAGCTTGTTCTGCTTAATTGGATGGTAATTTATCCAATTCTGGGAAACCCCTCAACCCTATGTTGGGGTTCTCTTGAAGGCGAGAGGGCCCATCGCTGAGAGTCAGGATTTGGCCATAAAAGCCGGCTGTGTGCCCAGAATGCTAGACCGGCATGTGAAAAGCACAGGTTTTTTCTGTGAGAAGTCCCAATTGCCCAATTGAGTGTGGTGAAACAACCCTAAACCCTAAATCCTAAACCCTAAATCCTAAACCCTAAACCCTAAATCCTAAACCCTAAACCCTAAAACCCTAAACCCTAAACCGTGTTGTAAGGAGCTCCAGGTCCTCGTTAAAAGCTGATGCGCATGAGGCTTTTCGAATCAGCCTAGACCCCCTAAACCCTAAACCCTAAGCCCCCCAAGTACCCTAAAATAGGGTTTAGGGTTTAGGGTTTAGGGTGTAGAGTTTAGGGTTTAGAGTTTAGGGTTTAGGGTCTATGTAGCTTCTATTTGGGGATGCTTAGGGTCTATAGAGGGTACTTGGGGGGTCTAGGTAAGCCCCCCCCATCTTAAGAACTGCGCTTGCCTAATACGTCAGACGCCTCAACCTCTATTGTTGCTACTAGAAATCCTGCATGGCCTGAATTTGGATTTAGGGTTTAGAGTTTAAGGCTTAGTATACTTTCGTACCGTTATTGCCAAGGTAAAAGGTACTGAGGTTCACGCAGGATTTCTAGTATCCACCGTATATAATACCTCATATAATCCTACCGTCCATTTCATTTTCATGTTCTTCTCCATGTGATTCTCCATCATTTGTTAACCCTAAACCCCTAAACCCCTACAGCAGATTTTGATCCAGGCCAGCCAAGCCTTCAGAGCTCGACGGCCCAGAGCCCTTCCAAAGCTTTGCCCATGAGGGTTAGGGTTTATAGGGTTTTTAGGGTTTAGGGTTTAGGGTTTAGGGTTTAGGATTAGGTTTACGCTTTGTACGGTTGAGCTTATTTGCGCCACCATCTAAACTCCTATATAAGGGATCACATAGGAGACTACTATAGGGATGAGTAAGGGGTATAGTAGGAGTTTCTACTATAGCTCATATGGTTGAGCCCATTGGGTTAAGGTTTCAGATTTGGAGTTTACAGTTTCGGAGATGAGCCTTAGAACCGGCTAGGTTTGGGCTTCGGGGTGCCTGAGGCTTCAAGTAGGTGATGCAGATGGAAATTTCTGGCGTAAAGCTAATAACAATAGCAACGCTTGGCTGGAGCTTAGCAAGATGGTTCTGATAATCCCCAACCCTCAGAACCTATAGTCACATCATAGTGATAGGGCCCCACTTTCGGCATTCGGAGTTACTCAAATCAGGATTAATTGCTGCAGTGTGAAGGTATGCCACCTGGCACAAGGGTCACAGAGAGTATCGCTACAGCCCTATGGGGGCATGCAAACATATGTACTGACGTTGGCAAGACTCGTCGGGATGATCTAAAATTGCACACTGTGCGAGCAGAAGTCGGTCAGAGGCTAGGGAACGGAAGAAATCGTAAAAAGGGTGTATATTATCTATTTTCCCCAGGTGTCCATACTCCCTGGGACCTGGCATGATGCGAACTAGACATTTCCAAGGACATCCTGCACGACAGATTGAAATCGCCGACCTAATCCAACGTTAAAAAAGTTTGCCTGCAGTTATAGGGCAAGAGCCTAAACCGTTAAG